GGCACGTGCCCGGGTTGCGGGCTCGATCCCCAGTGTGGGGCGTGCAGGAGGCAGCCGATCCATGATTCTCTCTCATCATGGATGTTTCTATCTCTCTCTCCCTCTCCCTTCCTCTCTGAAATCAATAAATATATATATTTAAAATAAATAAATATATACAGACATAAATAGAAATAGAAGAAATAGGAGGGCAGAAAAATGTCTGATGTTACGTTAATTACAAGGGTGAATGGAATAAACTGACCCAAAGAGACAGCTGTGACCCTGAATTTCAGAAAGGAATCGGTCGGGACATAACACCTAACCCCCCTCTGCAGCAAGCTGCCTCCAAGACACTCATTTTTAACAAAAGGGGGTGGGGGTTGGGGGGAGATATACCAGCGAAGATGAGACAGCAAGTGTAATATCAGCCAAAACAGAATGTAGAGTCTCCACATGATAAGAGGCCATGCTCCGTATTATGCGCCGATAACAGGAAAAAATAGATGGAGGAGAGATACGTATCCGACAACATATCCGAGAAATATGCAGAGCAATGCCAGCTCTCGCAGAAAGATGAGGAGAAATAAAGATCAATCAGCAATTCCCACCAGGAGCGTATACCTTCTCTTTATCGGGAACAGATGGTTCGACGCGTAAAAAATAAGCTGAGATACAGAATGTGAATAAGGTGAGGAGAAGACTAAAAAGTCATAAAAGCAGGAGAGAACTTCCTGTCCGACAGCAGGTGGGAAACCTTGTGAACCGCAGGGATTTTGTAGGTGGTGTGTGTTAGGCTGCCTGGAGAGTCACAATACATTCCAAACAATTAACACGACATCCGGGATGCTCTCTGGCCGTCCTATATCATAAAAGCCTAATATGCTAAGTGTCCGGTCGTCCTGTTGGCCATTCAACCAATCAAAGCGTAATATGCTAATGATATGCTGAGGCTGCTCAACCACTTGCGATGATGTGCACTGACCACCAGGGGGCAGACAGTTGACCAGTCGATCAGTCGCTATGACATGCACTGACCACCAGGAGGCAGACGCTCCACCCGGTAGGTTAGCTTGATGCTGGGGTCTGGTCGATCGGGACTGAGCAAGATGAGCCAGACACACCCTGGAGCCCTCCTGCGGTCCCTCCCCGGCTGGCCAACCTCCTGCGTCCCTCCCCAGCCCCAATCGTGCTCTGTTGGGGTCCCTCGGCCTGGCCTGCATCTTCTAGCAATCCGGGCTGAGGTCCCCCCCACCCCAGTGCATGAATTTTGTGCACCGGGCCTCTAGTAATGTAATAGAGGAGTAAAGAACAAATACTACATTTAAATTATTTTTGAAGCCTATATATCTGAAAGTTTGGAGGCATATGACTAAGCAAAAAGAAGTTGTAGGGGACACTGTGCAATCCTTATTGCTGAGTGAGGAAACTTTACATGCCAGCGGCTGTGAGGTATGGCTTAAAGGAACGTTTTTGTTTTAAGTAAATGTGAGAAAACCAAAGAATGTTGAAATAATGGACGAAGACCGGGACTGCTGAGCGAAGGGCTGAAAACCCACACTCTGTCCTGGCCAGTTTGCCTCAGTGGATAGAGCATCAGCCCGTGGACCTAAGGGTCCCGGGTTTGATTCCAGTCAGGGGCACGTATCTGGGTTGCAGGCTTGACCCCCGGCCCTGGTCGGGGTGCATGTGGGAGGCAACCCATCGATGTGTCTCTCTCACATCGATATTTCTCTCTCTGTGTCTCTCCCCTCCCTTCCACTCTCTCTAAAAATCAATTGGAACATATCCTGGGGTGAGGATTAAGAACAACAACAACAAAACACAAAAAAGCCCGGCCAGTGTGGCTCGGTGGTTGAGCGTCAACCCATGAACCAGGAGGTCACAGTTAGATTCCTGATCAGGGCACAGGCCCTGGGCTGCAGCTCGATCCCCAGTGTGGGGAGTGCAGGAGGCAGCCGATCCATGATTCTCTCTCATCATGGATGTTTCTCTCTCTCTCTCTCCCTCTCCCTTCCTCTCTGACATCAATAAAAAAATATTAAAAAAAGAAAACAAAAAACCCACACTCCTCAGGGTCCAGCCACCTGGACACCCTATGCGGGCGTTCCGAGCTCAGGAGCTGGGCTGAAACAGGTACCTGCCCCTAAGACACTGCAATGACATGAAAGTACAGACGGGCCAGCAAGTAAGCCAAACAGAGTGTCTGCGGGCCACGCAGACCCAAGGCCCGCCTGCTTCAACCTCAGCAGTGCCTGCAGCCTCTACACATGCCTCAGCCCTCGGGGACCAGCTGTGCCCGACACTAAGCCTCCCAACACAACACTCTTTGCACCCCATAACCCGGACTATCTGTCCCCTCCGGGCCCTGAGGAGGCCGCCTGTGCTGTGTCCCACTCCGCGCCTGCAGGCACCAGCTCCGTGGCTGAGCAGCGGGCAGGCGCCCTGTCTGGGTGATGCCCCAGGCCGCACGCCCTGGAGTCCATCCTCTCAGCCTCTCTCCCAGGCGCAGGCACGGAGTTGCTGCCATAACCAAGGCGAATCTCTGGCCAAAGAAGGCGGCACTGCTGGTGACGCACAAAGCCATCGTCGGTCGGCTGCAACGTCTCTGGAGGCTAGAGGACATGTCGACATGTGGGCGGGAATTGTGTGAACTGTTGAAATAAAATCCGTGACGGTGGGTGGAATTCTCGAACCAATTCCTTTACATCATTCATGCTTGTTTGTTTGTTTGTTTATTTTTTGTTTAAATACTAGAAGCCCTGTGCACGAAATTCATGCAAGAGTAGGCCTTCGCAGCTCCGGCGGCCTCAGCCCTCGCGGCTGCCCCAGCTTCGTCCGGAAGGTCATCTGGACGGTCGTTCTGTTGTTCGGCCATCTGGTCTAATTACCATATTACACTTTTATTATTATAGATAGTTGAATTGATTTCAGAGAGGAAGGGAGAGGGAGAGGGAGAGAGAGAGAGAGAAGCATCCATGATGAGAGAGAACCATGGATCGGCTGCCTCCTGCACGCCCCACACTGGGGATCGAGCCCGCAACCCGGGCATGTGCCCTGACCGGGAATCAAACCCTGACCTCCTGGTTCCTAGGTCGACCCTCAACTGCTGAGCCACACCAGCCGTGCAATAAAAACATTTTTTCAAAAAAAGAAATAGGACACAGCTTCAAAAACACAAACCTGGTCATCAGTGGGGTGAACAAGTGCTCTGTGGTCGGAGCAGGACTAGGAACAAACTCGTGGCCCCTGTCAGATGGGGGGCCCCCCCTTTACCAGGAACTTCCTGTCCCGCCCCCTCGGCCTATGCCTCTCTCGCTGAGCAAGCTCCTCGGTGCTTCTCTCTCTGGGAGACGGGATTCCCCACCCACAAATCGTGGGGAAAAGCCAGCGAGATTTCCCAATCTCCCTCGCTCGGCTGGGTTTTGTTTTGCAACACGGGGTAGAGGCAGATGGTCCCTCTCCTTCATGTGTCCTCCCACCCTGCACGCAGCCGTGAGGCCTGGAGCTGCGGGACCATCTGGGCGCTGCTGCGCGGGGACCAGCCCCGCACGGAGGACAGCAGAGCAGCCAGACGGCGGAACGACGAGAGGAAGCCCGCGCCGTCCTCGCCGGCCAGCCAGTCGCTGTCTGGACTCCAGGGCGTGAGAGGGAATTCAGAGTCTTCACTCGCGTCAGGTGCTGTCAGTGGTTCTGTTAATTGTTCCTGAAGATTCCCTCCTCCCGCCAAGCTCCTATTTCAGTGATGGCGAACCTATGACACGCGTGTCAGAGGTGACACGCGAACTCATTTTTTTGGTTGATTTTTCTTTGTTAAGTGGCATTTAAATATATAAAATAAATATCAAAAATGTAAGTCTTTGTTTGACTGTGGTTGCAAAGATCAAAAAATGTCTGTATGTGACACGGAACCAGAGTTCAGTTAGGGTTTTTCAAAATGCTGACACGCCGAGCTCAAAAGGTTTGCCATCACTGTCCTATTTCTATAGCACAGACAGCTGACAGAGGGCGTCCGGACATCGCCTGGGCCAGGCGGGCACGCGACAGGTCCCTGCCTTTCCTGCTTCTGCGGGTCCTCGTCCTTCAGACTCAGAACCAAGGCCCTGCCCACGTCCGGGCTTCCAGTGGCATTGTCTGGGCCGGTGCACACAGAAATATCACTCTCCTCTGCAGGCCCTTTTATTTATTTTTTAAATATATTTTTATTGACTTCAGAGAGGAAGGGAGAGAGAGAGAGAGAGAAAGAGAAACATCCATGATGAGAGAGAATCATGGACCGGCTGCCTCCTGCACGCCCCACACTGGGGATGGAGCCCACCACCCGGGCATGTGCCCTGACTGGGAATCGAACCGTGACCTCCTGGTTCATAGGTCGACGTTCAACCACTGAGCCTCACCAGTTGAGCCTCACATAATATCCTATAGAATAAAAGGCTAATATGCAAATTGACCGAACAGCAGAACGACCGGTCGCTATGACATGTACTGACCACCAGGGGGCAGGCGCTCAATGCAGGAGCTGCCCCCTGGTGGTCAGTGTGCTCCCACAGGGGGAGCACCGCTCAGCCAGAAGCCAGGCTCACGGCTGGCGGTAGTGGGAGCCTCTCCCACCTCTGTGGCAGCGCTAAGGATGTCCGACTGCTGGGTTACGGGGAGCAGGCCTAAGCCAGCAGTCGGACATCCCCTGTGGGCTCCCAAACTTTGAGAGGGTGCAGGCCAGGCTGAGGGGACCACCCCCCCGCCCGGAGTTCACAAATTTTGTGCACCGGGCCTCTAGTTTCAACATAAAAAATGTTTACTACTTTTCACCTACCGTCAGCAAAAATAAACCCAAAAACCAAAAACTTAATGTACCTTCCAGGCTGATCAGTCTTAGGGCCGTGTTGTTCTCTCTCTCTCTCTCTCTCTCTCTCTCTCATCTAACGTGTAAGGAAAGTCGGATCATGCTGTCACATTAAATTAGCGGAGTTATTTCTCCTCCTTAGATTTGGCTCTTATTTAATTAAACCCCAAAGCAGAAAACCAATATTTGATCTGCGCACACGCCCCCATTTACAGATTCCGTGATTTATGATCTTGTTTCTGGAACATTATCAAACGGGCAAATTAATGACATCAGTCCCGCATCACTTGAACCCTGGCTTGAGTGCTTTTATTACTTATCCTGCGAGATGGGTGCCATCATTTTTTGTAGATTTGTAACAGTCCTTTAGCTGCTCATTAGCATGTCTGATTGAATTGGAAATGCATCAGGATGTTTATCTTAAGAGAGAGTAAGAATGCTTTGAGTGATTGCTTCTCCAGGGAGGACTGACTGCCAAATGCTAGGTTACGGGGCAGATATCTCACCCTTATTTAATAAACCACACGTGCAGGGCCAAGGCTTTGATGGAAATATTTCCAAGGCACTCTATCGAAAAAGAGTATTCCCGCAAGAATGGAAGGCAATTGCAATATGTTGATTTTTTCCCCCAACAGATTCTTAAACTGTATCTGATTAAACAAGGTGCCTCCAGGCAAACGGAATCATTGGGGTTATTAATAGACTAGAGGCCCAGTGCACAAATTCATGCATGGGTGGGGTCCCTCGGCCTGGTCGGTGATCGAGGTCTATGGGGGGGCCGCCCGGCAGGGGGGAGGGACCCCGGGAGGTTGGCTGGCTGGACCCCCGATTGGGGCCTACTGGGGGGCCAGCGGGAAGGGGGGGATGGACCGCGGAAGATTGGCCATCCCGGGGGAGGGGCTGTGGGAGGTTGGCTGTGGGAGCGCACTGACCACCAGGGGGCAGCTCCTGCATTGAGTGTCTGCCCGGTGGTCAGTGCGCATCATAGCGACTGGTTGACTGGTCATTCTGGTCGTTCGGTTGTAATGGTCGCTTAGGCTTTTATATCTATATTAATAAAAGCCTAGGTGGTCCTCATGCCCTCGCATGCAATGTTGTCACAAGATGGCCGCCATAAGATGGCCGCATACACAGCAGAGGTGGGGCCCAGCGGCTGCTCCGTGTGGTGAGGCCTGGGGGTCCCACAGCTCCGCCACCTCGCATGGAGGCAGGTCGCGGAAGAGGAGGGCAGTTGTGGGCGATCAGGCCGGCAGGGGAGAGCAGTTGGAAGCGATCAGGCTGGCAGGGGAGGGCAGTTGGGGGCGATCAGGCTGGCAGGGGAGCAGTTAGGAGGTGATCAGGCAGGCAGGCAGAAGCGGTTAGGGGCAATCAGGCAGGTAGGCAGGCGAGCGGTTAAGAGCCAGTGGTCCCGGCTTGTGAGAGGGGTGTCCCAGATTGGAGAGGGGGCAGGCCGGGCTGGGGGACCCCCCCCCCCCACATGAATTTCGTGCACCGGGCCTCTAGTACATAGATAATTGATAACATTGTAAACGCCTTTTTGTGCAAACTTCCCAGTAATAGAAGCGAATGACTCTCCGAGGAGGTAACAAGTCCTTTCCTAAGCCGGGAGGTGCCCGACTCTTAGTTTTTAAAAATATGGATGAGGACTCAGTGTGGTGTCTGGCAAATAACTCACGTGAACAAGCTTTCTCGGTGTTTACATCTTTAAAGAAAGAGTGGGAACCAAACAGATGCTGCTTTGTTGCAAATAAAAATAAGTCACATTTGAACAGAGATATAGGAACCACTTGGGAAAATCCTCATAAAATTCCAAAATGTTGAAAACAAGAGTACACGTAGTGCGGCCGGCGGGGCTCAGGGGCTGAGCGTCGACCTAGGAACCAGGAGGTCAGGGTTCGGTTCCCGCTCACGGCACAGGCCCGGGTTGCGGGCTCCATCCCCAGTAGGGGGCGTGCAGGAGGCAGCCGATCCGTGATTCTCTCTCATCATGAATGCTTCTCTCTCTCTCTCTCTCTCTCTCTCTCTCTCTCTCTCTCCCCTTCTCCCTTCCTCTCTGAAATCAATAAGAATATACAGATGCCGTGTGGTCCATTCATTTCCATCCAGGCATATGAAATATGAACATATTCTCATTAAAATGGGACACGGTTTATACACTGTCTGGGATGGCCCTGTGACAAATGGCCCGTCTCACTCTGCTTGAGGGCTATGTTATGAAGGAGCCAACATACTCATGTGGAGGTCACTGTGTGTAAGGATCTACTCAAAGTTCTTTACGTTATTTTTTAAAATATATTTTTACTAGAGGCCCGGTGCACGAATTCGTGCATGGGTAGGATCCCTCGGCCTGGCCAGCAATCAGGGCTGATAGGGCTGGCCGGCGGGGGGGAGGGGAGTGTGGGACACCGTGAGCGGTTGGCTGTGGGAGCGCACTGACCACCAGGGGCAGCTCCTGCATTGAGCGTCTGCCCCCTGGTGGCCAGTGTGCGTCATAGCGACCAGTCGACCGGTCGTTCGGTCTCTTAGGCTTTTATATATATAGATTGATTTCAGAGAGGAAGCGAGAGGGAGAGAGAGATAGAAACATCAATGAGGAGAGAGAACCATGGATCGGCTGCCTCCTGCACGTCCCACACAAAACCCAGGCATGTGCCATGACCGGGAATCGAACTGTGACCTCTTGGTTCCTAGGTTGACGCTCAACCACTGAGCGACGCAGGTCGAAAAGAAGTAAAAGTAGCAGCCCCGGTGAGGTCGGGACGGCCCTGGCGATGTACAGCACCGGCAGGGTCGAGACGGCCCCAGTGAGGTCGGGACGACCCCAGTGAGGTCGGGACGACCCCGGTGAGGACGAAACGGCCCCGGTGAGGTCGGGACGGCTCCAGTGAGGTTGGGACAGATAATGGGGACCAGTATAGACTGATGAACAGGGGTAGATGCAGAGGCAGAGCAGCATTGAACAGACTGTCAAACTACAGTGGGAAGCCTGGGGAGGATTAAGAGATCAACCGAAGGACTTATATGCATGCATATAAGAATAACCAATGGACACAAGACAATAGGGGGTAGGGGAGGCCGGGAGAATGTCAAGGGGGGGAAAAAGAAGACATATATAATACTCTTTGTCATACAACCGAAGGACTTATATGCATGCATATAAGAATAACCAATGGACACAAGACACTGGGGGGTAGGGGCCGGGGGAATGTCAAGGCCGGGGGGTGAAGGAGACATATGTAATACTCTTTGTAATACTTCAAGAAATAAAAATTATTTAAAAAAAAAAAGTAAAAGTAGAAACGCCTATTAAAATGTCCATGTGTGCCCTGGCCGGTGTGGCTCAGTGGATAGAGCGTCGGCCTGCGGACTGAGGGGTCCCGGGTTCGATTCCGGTCGGGGGTAAGGGCAGTTTCTATTGGGTAAGGACACGGTGGCTACAACTGGGCTCTCAGCGCTTCGGACCCTCCCCTGGGAGAGCTCTGAGGCCCCTCGCCAGGTTGTGGAATAAATGGCTTGCTCACGTCAGTGGCTGCACGTTGGGGTCACCCGGGGCATCGCCCACCCCCGCGACTCTGACTCAGCGATTCTGGGACGGGACCTGGGCAGGCGTTTTCAAAGCATCGGCGGCTCGTCCCCATGCCCAGCCAGGCTTGAGACCCCCCGGGGAGGTTTCCCTCAATAGCAATGTCTGTGTGTTCCTCCTTCTGCTCAGAAACTTTAAAATGGCTCCCGAATACTAAACAGGGGACATGAGACGATAAAACGGTCTCTTTTCGCAGGTGTAAGCGAAACGGGAGTGTGATCAGGGACGGGGGAAGGCGGACAACTGCAATGAAATGGCCCCACAGCTGAGTTCGGAATAAATACACAAAAAAAGGGCCTTTGAGGACAGCGTTGTCTTCAGCGACGACGCTCCCAGAGTTATAGGTCTGAGTTACGATGTCCCTTCAAAGCAGTTCCTACAGGGAGATCAGCCATAAAACCTGTTTTAATGATGCCACAATGGAAACATAAATTTATTAGAGAGAAATCGCCCTGGAGACTGAGGTAGATTTATTTAAAATATCTTGAATGGTAAAAACACAAAACCAAACAAAAAAGACACACACACACAAAACCATTTAAAAAATATATTTTTTATTGATTTCAGAGAGGAAGGAAGAGAGAGAGAGAGAAACATCTATTATGAGAGAGAATCATGGATCAGCTGCCTCCTGCACGCCCCTGCTGGGGATGTGCCCGCAACCCAGGCATGTGCCCTTGACCGGAATCGAACCTGGGACCCTTCAGTCCGCAGGACGGCGCTCTATCCACTGAGCGACACCGGCCAGAGCTCAACTAGAGATCTTGCTTGCATATATGCATCACCCACGAGCACAGACAATGGGGTGGTGAAGGCCAGGCCCAGGGACAGGGCCAGGCTAGAGGGAGCCAGTGGGGGAAGAGGGGGGCATAGGTAATACTTTCAACAATAAAGCTCTTTTAAAAATAGGGGGTTACTCCCAGCTGGCGTTGCTCAGTGGCTTGAAGCATGGACCCACGGACCCCGAGGCCAGTTGGGGCACATGCCCAGGTTGTGGGCTTGATCCCCAGTAGGGGGCGTGCAGGAGGCAGCTGATGGATGTTTCTCTCTCTCTCTCCCTTTCCCTTCCTCTCTCTCTAAAATCAATTTTAAAAATAATTTACAAAATAAAAATAAAAAGTGGGGGTCCGGACCCTCGGAAATGCACCTGCCGGGGACGCGGAGACCAGGACCCGTGGGGTGTGCGCCCCAGAAACCCCCGTGGGCGAGTCTCCTCCCTCCTCCTGGCCGGTGTGTCTGACAGCTTCCCCGGGATCTGCGGCCTTAAACGACATTAAACAACCTTAAATGACCTTAAATGATGCTGGAGATGAGGAAAACGGAATTGCTTTTTTGAGCTGTTCCTGAATGGAACGCGGAGCAGCAACGCCCCCCGATTTTTGGCGCTGGGCCTTGCAGGGGTCACCCCCCATGAGGCGTGGGCAGAAATGGAGGCAAGAAGTGCCCGGCTGTGGAAGTCCATCATGTCCCGCCTGGGACACAGGGAGGGAGGCAGCGGCCAGCAGTCACTGTGGCCATTAGAATAGCCCACGGCGGGTACGGCGGGCCCGCTAAGCCCCTCTGTGTTGCAAAGGTATTTGCATATTTTACCCCAATACATCCCAAGAGCCGGCATAAGGCCATCTGCAGGCGGAGTCACGTGCAACTCAATACAATGCAGGCTTCGAGAGAAATGTCAACATAGCTCAGCTCCTCAGTCCAGCCCTTAACCCCCTCCTGTCCCCTCCCGATCCCCATGTGCCCACTGCAGGCCTGGTCCCGCCCTCACTCTCCATTTCCATCCGGAAGGCCCCAAATCACCCCCCACCAGGGCAGCTCTCCTCCTCCTCCTCCTCCTCTTCCTCCTCCTCCTCCTTTTTTTAAACATATTTTTATTGATTTCAGAGAGGAAGGGAGAGGAAGACAGAGATAGAAACATCACGATGAGAGGGAATCATGGACCGGCTGCCTCCTGCATGCCCCACACTGGGGACCGAGCCTGCAACCTGGGCCTGTGCCCTTGACCGGAATCAAACCCGGGACCCTTGAGTCCACAGGCCAATGCTCTATCCACTGAGCCACACCGGCCAGGGCTGGCTCTCCTTTCTCTCCCCCTTTCCTCCCATTGTTCCTGGGCCTGTCTCTCTCCCCATTGTCCTGATTCTAAACCACAAACACCCAGACAGTCAGACAAGCAAGCCACAGCCACCTGGTGAGACGGGGAAAGGGAGGTGCTGGAAAGACACAGACAAGGTTCATAATCTCCTTGTTTAGCTGGGACGCGGGAAAGGGGCAGCGGGAGGGGAGGCTGGGAACTCCCGCGAGCTACCGGGCGTGAGGAATGGAGACAGTGCCTGGCCCGTGTGGCTCGGTGGTTGAACGTCGACCTAGGAACCAGGAGGTCACGGTTCGATTCCCGGTCAGGGCACACGCCGGGGTGGCGGGCTCCATCCCCAGTGCGGGGAGGAGATAAAGAGCAGCTGCTGGAGAGCTAACAGCTCCACCTGACAGTCAGCAGAATCCCGGGGAAATTAAAAAGCCGGGGGTGGTTTCAGAGCCACGGCCGAACCTCTCTCGACGGCAGTAAATATCACTGACAGCCGAAGAAATTAGACAAGCAAATCCCATTTCAGGATGGATTTTCTGCCTTAAATCGAACGAGTTTTTCCTTATTGTGCAGAGGAGAAGGTTTTTGAAAATGCCCAGAAAATGGAAAGATTCAGAAAACTATAAAACGGTTCGTACACGCACGATGCCTGTTCCCGTGTTAGACTATTTGTCTTGCGGTCGATGTTCTCTCTGCGTCAGGTTTTTTGTGTCTGTCTAGCCATCTGTTTTTGTGTTTTGCTTTTCCACTTCATAACAGAAGCAATTTTGCACGAATATTCAGGATGACAGACACACTGGCTATAAAAGGAAGTGCTTCAAGGTGAGGAATTTATCCTATATCATAAAAGGCTAATATGCAAATTGTCCCCTCGGGAGTTCAACCGATGGGGTGCTCGCTATGACGTGCGCTGACCACCAGGGGGCGGCGTGGAATGAAGGAAGGCCCTGGCCAGCAGCCGGGGAGGAAGACCCCGATCGGCCCTGATCAGCCAGGCCTAGGGACCCTGCCCGTGCACGAATTTCATGCACCGGGCCTCTAGTCAAATAATAAACTATTAAAAATCAGAGGTTGCCCTAACCGGTTTGGCTCAATGGATAGAGCGTCGGCCTGCAGACTCAAGGGTTCCAGGTTCGATTCCGGTCAAGGGCATGTACCTTGGTTGCGGGCACATACCCAGTAGGGAGTGTGCAGGAGGCAGCTGATTGATGTTTCTAACTCTCTATCCCTCTCCCTTCCTCTCTGTAAAAAATC